GCGTCATTCATGAAAACAAATATGATATGAGTTTTTGTTGATGTTGATCGATGTATTGTGATTTTTTTTCTTCTTTTTTTAGCATTGAACTTGGAAATTATTTTATAATAATTTTAATTCTTAAAAAAAAACCAAACATAATGATGTGTTATCCTCCAAACATTAGAAACCCATTTTTTTCTTAGATTTTTTATTTTTTAAAATGTATGATATATGTAAAAGACTTTTCCATCCTTATATTTAATATGAAATTCAATATAATACATATCTTTTATTTTACATAATTTTATTAAAAACCTCTATTTTCAGGATTTTTTTATAAATAAATCAAACCATGAACTGTCTAAAATAAATCTAAAAAGCTTGAAAAGTCAAATGAAAAAATAACAAATCAATCAGACTCTTATATATCTAGAATGATCATAATACTAGCTATTATTTTCACTTTATGCAATCGCATGTAGGAAAAAAGTGGTTTCAATGAGGTTCTTGACCAATGTTGCAAATGAGTATATCATGAACTAATATAAGTAAATTGCAAAAATATTCTACAATTATATCAATATAAATAACAACACAAATATTGTTTGGTGAATATAAATATTTTATGAGAATATATGTAGAAGATAAATCGATATGTATTATGGTAAAATAATCCTCTTAATACACCTCATTATAATCAATATTTTCACATTTTTTTTTATGATTTTGAACCAATTACAAAGTTTGATATAATAAAAGATTGATATATAAGTCTTAGGGGCCGTTTACTAAACACTTACTTGGTAAGTGTTTAACGCATATATTTCCTCATTGGATGAACATGAGATGGGCCAAGAATCTCACCGGGTAAAAGCAATGAGAAAGATGGAGAGTCTTACGTATACCCAGTAAGTAAGGATGGAGACTCTTACCGAGGTAAACGTTTACCCAGTAAATTGTTGCATTCAATATCTTTTAATGTACTAAAATCTTACGCATGAAAATAAATTATAGTGTTGACTCCTATTGGTAAGCGCTTACCGGGTAAGCATTTGGGTAAACGGCCCCTTAATATATAATTATATACATATATATATATATATATATATACATATATTAAAAGAACAACCAATAATGATAAGTTACATTCATATATCAAAGGTAATATTGATTCTTATTAGTTTAATATATAAATATGATCATCGACTCATTTAGCTAATTTCAACAAATTTTTAAAAAAGTTATCGTCATCGCACAACGTGCGATGTCAAACACTAGTTATTATATATTAAATAAATAACCATAAAGGTAGAAAATATAAATTTTAAAAATAATTACTACATATTTATGATATTTAATAATATAAGATTAAATTCAAAAATATCAATATTGGGCTAATTTTGAACGTATTAACGACGATTATAATTGTATAACTTGTAATAAAAGACTTGTTTTTTATATGTTTTAGTTAATATACGATTATGTGTGTTGATATAATAAAGGTGTAAAATGAAAAATGAAAAATGAAAAAATAAAGGATATTAAGTAATTAAATAACTAATTATAAGATGTAGAATTATAAATTTTTCAATCTATCAGAAACTTTACGCAGAAAAGAGATTTTGATCATAAAACCTCATTTTCTTGCATAAAGTTTTTTTTTTTTTTTGACATAAATTATTTTTCTTTAATTTTTGCCCGAAACAAACTTTACGCAAAAATTACCCTTTTGCATAAAGTTTTATCGTAGATTTTGGTTATTTAAGGAAAACTAAAAAGTGAAATTAATTTTGTAAAATGAGCTTTTAAATTTGAAGTGCAAATAAGATGTTACAGAAAATATGAGACAATACAACAATAAATGATTAAGCTTGTAATAAAAAATGGAAGCCACTTGGTGGAAAAGTTACTTTAATAAATAATTAAAAACAAAAAGAAAACCAAAACTATCCCTCCAACTTCAAATTCAATAATTGATGACTCGGAAACCACTTAAGAAACCATATACCGCCTCATGTTTCTCGATTCATTATTGAATATTGATTGATACGTTAAAACTAGAACCATGTATTAACACAAATATTTAATTAGCGTCCAAATTTTTCTACAAACCACAAATGGGTCATTGTGGTCAGAAAATCTATTTAAAATGTCTTTAAAAAAATGGTTTGAAAAGTCACAGTTTTGTTAAGAACATATGTTTTTTTAGTTAAATGTTTATTCTAAAAGTAATTGTAAAAAAAGTTGAAAACCATAATGACTTGCACAACATAATTATGTCTATATTTATATAAACAAATCTAAGGTTTTTTTGTCGTAAAAAAATTTGTGAAATTTGAGGGGGAGCCAATGCCACTTTGATCACACCATCATCGGAGTGCTTCAATTAACGGCACCACTCCCACCTCATGTTTCTAGATCATGTAACTTAGACGGTACCATATATGAATTTAAACTAAGGCTATGTTTGACAAGTTCGCTGATAAAATTGCTGGTAGCTGATAAACTAGTTGAAGACTGATAAGTCAATCATTAGCTGATAGACAATCATGTTTGATAAAAACTAGCTGATAATAATGTAACATGATCTAAAAGTATATCTTGAAAAATATAGTTCATATAATTAAAACAAATCTCATAATATGTTAATTAATATAAACTTGATACTAAATAAATATTAAATAATGTAAGATGTTGATTAAATGAATATCAAATTGTTTATTACATATATTATAAATTTTAGATTTGTTAAAACAAATTTTAGAAAAGAAAAATCTATTAATATATGGTTTAAATAATCATCATATAATATGAATAAAAATAAAATTGATCGATCTCACATATATCTTAACTAATTAATAATTTTTCAAAAGATATAAATAATAATTAAATTAAATATCTTACTAAAATTATATAACATAGTTTTATTATTTACGAAACAAAAATAAATATAATTTTGATTATTATGTAACTTACATAAAAAAATTAAAATTGTTATATTTGCTTTTTGATAATTAAATATATTGAATATATGGTTATTTTGAGAAGTCATAAATATTTGAGAAATAAAGAAGTGATCTTAGTCATTTATACGGACAATCTCGGTTTTGATTGGTCAATAATTGCGTTTTTGACTAGTCAATTACGTCTTTAACTGTTCAAAAATTACGACTATGCTAAAAATATAAAGGATAATTTCGTAACTTTTATAAATAGACGACAAACGGATTCATATATGAACTTATGAGAAGGGTTCAAACGAGAACTCCTGTGATTTACGAGAATACGAGAACAACTCAATAATCACATATTGTGATAGAAAATAAAACTAAAAGATTTTTAAAACTAAAATTGAAATTTAAAAAGATTCAGAAAATATTAAAATTAAAAGGGTAATAATGGAAATGATATCATAAAATCTTTTAATACGATTACACGATCATGATTATCATTATCTAATACACGGTTAATCATGTGATATGGGTGTGATAATTATGTGATTATCACACAATTATCACATTATCGCTTATATCAACACGATTTGGTGTGATTTGGGTGTGATAATCATGTGATATCACTATTATAACATCACTTGCGCACTCAATTTGATCATGGTTTCGATCGGTTAGGGTTAGACAATCACGCATTTATCACAACGATTACTCATGGTTTTGATAGGTTATGGTTACACTTGATTGATCATGGTTTCGACAGATTATGGTTACACAATCACACAATTATCACAAGGGGAGAGAAGAGAGTGAAAAAGAACGTGCAAGAAAAAAAAAGGATAATTATGACTAATTAAAATAAAATAAAAATTATAAAAATTAATTAATTACATTAGTGCCCTTATTAATTTATTTATATTTAATATAAGTTAATTTATTAATTAAAGAAATTTGAAGTTATTAGATTGTTCTCGCGTTTTCGTAAATCACACGGGTTCTCGTTTGAACCTCCACCTATGTGATTCGCATGTGAACTATATGTTCATATGTTAACTTGGGTAATTCACATATGAACTATTTTAACTAATTCAGATATCGACTAGTTAACCGATTCACATATGAACGCGTATGATTTACATATAAACTAATTAACTGAATCAGTGAAATAGTTCACATGTGAACTAATTATCGGGTTCACATATAACCATGTAGTTCATATGTATATCACGTGGGTTCACATATGAGTCCGTTTGCCACATATTTGTAAAAGTTTCGAAACTATCCCTCTATATTTCGCATAGCCATGCAAGAAATTATCCGGTGCTTCACGGTCAAAGCTGCAAATATTGATAAGATAAATTGTTTGAATCACTTCTTTACTTTTCAAATGCACCTCTAACAATGCCCACTCCAAGGTTTTCTTTAATATATATATAGATTCTTACGTTCTAAAATAAATGTCTACAATCAAAATATTATATAGTTTTAGGATTGTGTAATTTTTACACCTTTTAAATTATTAAATGCACTTTTACTATGATAAATTTTATTCATCTCATAATTAAGTAGAATAAAAAAACAAAAAATTATGTTCAAACGTTGACAATTATTTTAGAGAAAATAAAGACAAAAGTGACGGACGTCTAATTCGGAACGTTAGAAATGCATAACTAAATGAAAATCAAAATATGTATAAGAGCATTTTTAATAGATTCTTTAAAATGAATAATTAAAAATTAAAATCTTCATAGAAAATTCATATTCATCTACGATAATTTCTTAATTTTGAAGATGAGAATATGAATTATATTATTAAAATATTTAATATCTTCTATAAAATTTTATTTTTCGAATCGACAGGTCGTTTCGTTTTTCTGAACTTCTTGTCACAAATTTATGTTAGAATTGCTCTAATAAACCTGTTTTTGGTTTTAAAGGACTTATCCGCCATTAAGAGACTCTCGGTCTATTTAGAAATAGAAAAGTATTTTGACGACAATGGTGCAAAAGGTCTTGAAAGAAGGTTCCTCTCCTGGCCACCACCACCGCCCATGGTCTCCCAGTTTCAATACCACCACCCTGTTTCCTGATCTAATGGCCTATAATTACATTATTTTCAATCCCAAATGCATTGATCATTCCCAATTTAGAAACCCTTTTCTATCACTATTTTCAATCCCAGATGGAAACTACTTTTGCAGTTGGCGCCACCACCAAGCCGATCACCACCGTCTCATCATCCACCGGAAGCCTCGGCGGCCACTTGGCTCGCCGTTTAGTTCAGATTGGTGTGAAGGACGTCTTCTCCGTTCCCGGAGACTTCAACTTGACTTTACTTGACCACTTGATCGCTGAGCCGGGTCTCAACCTCGTTGGCTGCTGCAACGAGCTAAACGCCGGGTACGCAGCCGATGGATACGCACGAGCTAATGGAGTCGGTGCCTGTGTGGTGACGTTCACTGTGGGTGGACTGAGTGTGCTCAACGCCATCGCCGGCGCGTACAGTGAGAATTTGCCGGTGATTTGTATAGTGGGTGGACCAAATTCGAATGATTATGGGACTAATCGGATTCTCCACCATACAATTGGGTTGCCGGATTTTTCACAGGAATTGCAGTGCTTTCGAACCGTCACTTGTGCTCAGGTGCTCATTTCATCGTCAATTTTGTTTTTGTATTTGATTGATTATTAGATTAAATTGATTAATTTGGATTAACTCGTGGTTAATTATGGATTCTCACACCAAATCGAGCATTTAATTTAGTAATTAATTGTGTAAAGCTGTAAACCTTAGCTCTGACAATACGTGAAACCCTATCAAATTCCACTCCAAAAAAAACCCTTTAAAAAGAATGGGGTTCCGATATATATGTATATATTGAGGAGAAATGGTTCAATTGTAGCCAATCCAACGTACAGAAAATATAAAAACGGGTTTGTGATATTGATGGATTTGTGGTGAATGTAACAGGCAGTAGTGAATAACTTGGAAGATGCACATGAACTGATCGATACCGCGATCTCAACTGCTTTGAAGGAAAGCAAACCCGTATATATCAGTATAGGTTGTAACCTACCTGCAATTCCTCATCCTACATTCGCAAGAGAGCCCGTGCCTTTCTTTATCCCACCAATGTAAGTTGTACGATCTACCAACTAGATATACATACATACACACACACATATATAGAGGGAAGTTATGTTGGAAACCCAAGATTGATTAGTCCGAAGAACCGCCCAAAGCGTGCCACTTATCTCTTTTCAAAATGAATATTAATCATGAATAACACATTCATGATGAATATGGACGTGTTATTCATCATGAATCACACGTTCATATTCCTTATGAATATGCCACACGTCGTGCAGTGGATGGTTCCGGGTTCCTAATCAAATTTTGGATTCCTAACGGAACCTGAACCTGCCCTTGTATATATATATATATTCACACACATATATTTGGGGTTGGAAACCTCATTTTTCGTTGAGAACTAGGGAACCTTCAAGAGCGTGCCCCTGCTCTCAACGAAAATGAGGTTTCTAAACGAACCTCCCTCTCTCTCTATATATATATAATTTGTGTACATATCTCTTGCAGATCCAGCAACCCATTAGGACTAGAGGCAGCAGTGGAAGAAACAGCCAAGTTATTAAACAAAGCTGTGAAACCAGTGATTGTAGCTGGTTGCAAATTGAGGGTTGCAAAGGCTCAGAAAGCCTTTGAGGAGTTTGCAGATGCTTCAGGGTATCCAGTAGCTATAATGCCATCAGCCAAGGGACTAGTACCCGAGCACCACCCGAATTTTATCGGCACATATTGGGGTGCGGTCAGCACCAACTTTGTTGGGGAGATAGTTGAATCAGCTGATGCGTATATCTTCGTGGGACCCATCTTTAACGATTACAGCTCGGTTGGTTACTCGTTGTTGATCAAGAAAGAAAAATCAATCATTGTGCAGCCTAATCGTGTGACAATTGGACACGGTCCTTCTTTGGGGTGGGTGTTTATGGCAGATTTCTTAAGTGCGTTGGCTAAGAAGCTAAAGAAGAACAGCACGGCGTTGGAGAACTATCAACGGATCTTCGTGCCTAATGGCGTGCCCCTTAGATACGAGAAAGATGAACCTCTTAGGGTCAATATCCTCTTCAAACACATTCAAGTATGATTTTGATTCTAAATTCTTTCTAGATTTCAAACTTGTACAGTTTTTGTGGTCAGATAACATTTATTTCATCTACAGGAAATGTTGAGCGGAGAAACTGCGGTAATCGCCGAGACCGGTGACTCATGGTTCAATTGTCAAAAGCTACGTCTCCCTGAGAATTGCGGGTGAGCAGGGGTTTTTTTCTAAAGTTAATTTAGTGTTTAATGTTTAGGGTTTGGGGTTTTGCAGTATAATAACGTATTTTGTGGATTTTCATCCAGTTATGAATTCCAGATGCAGTATGGATCGATTGGATGGTCCGTGGGTGCGACTCTTGGTTATGCTCAGGCAGCCAAAGACAAGCGTGTGATTGCTTGCATTGGTGATGGTAGTTTCCAAGTAACAGCGCAAGATATTTCAACGATGATTCGATGTGGGCAAAAGACGATTATATTCCTGATCAATAACGGGGGTTATACGATCGAGGTTGAAATCCATGACGGTCCTTACAACGTCATCAAGAATTGGGACTACACCGGTCTTGTTGACGCTATCCACAACGGCCAAGGCAAATGTTGGACTTGCAAGGTTAGAGCATAAACCATATTTTCTGTTTCTCACTATAACAAAATCGGGTCTGTAGGACACCAAGAATGCCTAAATGTCATGATATATTGTTTTTATAGAACTTTTTGTTTGTAGGACTAGATAATCATGCATATTACGTAAATGTATTACAATAAGTTTATAGGACATTTTTGAGCGTTTTAATAAGTTTTTTACGACACATTTGAAATAAAACATCCTAGGACATTTTTGAGAGATGTTCTATGAACACCTTTTTTCATAGCACACTTGATTTTTATAAGACCCGTCTTTTTGCTAACAATGTCATGTAAAAAATTAAGTTAATAGAATGTTTTATTTCAAAACATGTAAAAGTGTTGTATAAACTTATTGTAAACTTTTACGTTAGACACAATTGTTTTGTTCTATAAACTCAAGGCCTATAAAAGGGTTGATTAGGACATTTAGGGGCCGTTTACCAAATGCTTATCCGAGTAAGAGCTTACCTAACCACATTACATTATCGGATGAATATGGTAAGGACTAAGAATCTTACCCAGTAAGAGCAAGACAAGGACCAAGAGTCTTACCCGGTAAGTGAGGGCAACGACTCTTACCACGGTAAGTGCTTACCAGGTAAATTGTTGCATACGATGCTGTTTTAATGGACTAAAATCTTACCCGGTAAGTAAATGATAGTGTTAATTTTTGATGGTAAGTACTTACCGGATAAGTGTTTGGTAAATGGCCCCTTAGACATTTTCTTTGCTTCCTATAGAACCAACTTTGTATTGTCTTTTGGATCCCATGTTTGCTAGACTTTAGACTATTTCTTTCCATCTACGTTGGAACATCCCTTCTGTGCTCTAGGGCACTTTTGGAGAGTAATCTAACGGGGTTCCACATATTTTGACAGCTCTCTTATTGAAATATTTATAGTGAAACATCAATTGTTGTGGTAACAGGTTCGAACCGAGGAGGAGCTGGTGGAAGCGATCGCTACAGCAACAGGAGCACACAAAGATTCACTATGCTTTATAGAAGTTTTCGTGCACAAAGACGACACTAGCAAAGAGCTACTGGAATGGGGCTCACGAGTCTCTTCTGCTAATAGCCGTCCTCCAAACCCACAATAGTCGTATGCTCAATTTAGGCCTCGGTGTTGGGCCAAGTTTGAACTGGATTTGACGGGTCTTTTTTGTATGTATATTTGATCTCATCTACATAAAAGTTCAAGCTCCATTTGAGAGACTGAATAACGCTAACGTATCTATGAAAGTTTGGTCATTTAGAGCCCTAATATATTTATTAGGACTTTATTTGATTCAATAAGCTCGACCGAAAATATTTTATTTTAATGTATTGTAAGTTAAATAATAGACTACTGTTTGTTTATGCACTACATTTTATTTTCAGCGGGTCATGTTTGGGTGGTTTAGGTTTTTAAACTTATTACCTTACCGGATGAATATGTTAAGGACCAAGAATCTTATTGGGTCAGAGCAAAACAAAGACCAAAAGTTTTACCTGGTAAATGTGTTTACCGAGTAAATTGTTGCATATGATGTTGTTTTGGTGGAGTAAAATCTTACCCGGTAAGTAAATGATAATGTTAAATTTTATAGGCAAGCGCTTACCGGATAAGTGTTTGGTAATCGGCCCCTTACTTCTACAAGTTTTAACAATTTGTACATTTTTACCATCTAACGTAATTACAGGTCAGTTTTTAGAACCCATTTTTTAAAATCTGGAAATTTATTTGTTTAATAATTTTATCATTTAAAATATTAAAAAAAAGTCTATTGAATTTTTATAGACTTTTACCCTTTTTCTTTAACCTGAAATATAATAGTTATTATATCTGGATATCACTCTCACGTATGGAGTCACCTCTCAAGTTATTACTTTCCAAGTTAAAAAACAAGATGAAAATATTCGAAAATCAAACTTTGTTCGAATTATTTATTAAAAATAATAATTATTAAATTAAATAATTTATTGAAATATTTATCAAAATGTTATAACCGGTTATAAGATATGGGGTGAATTTTAAATTATAATGGTATGTTTAAGGGGACTTGGTTAATTGTTTTAATATTTTAAACTATCAAAAACAATCTCCACCGCCTTATTTGTTTTAAATAAGAGTATTATGACATATTATGATTTTAACTCATAAGAATTTGGGGAAGTTGTTGAAAAACTTCTGTGTGTTCAGTTCTAGAGCTCGAGTAACAGCATCATTTAGAGGAAGCAAGTAGAACAGTCTCTATGATTATTTTGCCTGGATTAGTTGTCATTCATCTCCATACTTTCCTCTCTTTGTGAATAAGGTGAGTTTAATTTTACCAACTTTCTTTATTTGAAAACCGAGTGTAGAACCGTATGGTTCTTTATATAGGTTGCTAATTATAAATTGTTTTGATGTTATAATTAGCATAATTGTAGGTTTGGTTATGATTATTTCATTGTTGGAATAAGGGTGACATATCAAGGACGAAGATATATTTTGTTTATAATTATGACATATCAAGGAGAGATGTATATTGGGATAAGAGTGATATATCTAGGAGATGTGTATACCAGGATAAACGTGACAAAATCAGGAGTTATAAAATCTGTGTTTTGATCAACATTCATAATTATCGCATATTTATGATGCGATAACTTAGAGTTGTCGCATCCATGTGATACGATAACTTAAAGTTGTCGCATCTTATTGATGCGATGAAATATGGTTATTGCACGAATGTGATGCGAGGAGTGAGTTTTGTCGCATCCTTGTGATACGACAAGTTGACTTGTCTCATCCATATGATGCGACAAATTGAGTTTATCACGTGTGATGCGACAAGTTGATGTTCTCGCACCCGTGTGTTGCGAGTAGATAGGTTTGTCTCACCCATGTGATGCGAGAAATTTATGCAATCTTTTATATGATGCGACAAGTTTTACTTATAATGTGTTTATCGAATTGTTGGGTATTTGATTGCAATAAATAAGGTTTATTATATCAAAATATTATACATTTGTTATTATTACAAATATAAGTTCACAAATGTAATTTGGTGATTTTTTTCACCCTATAATTGTATCAAGGGATTTCTCACTAAACCTCAAAGTTTAACCCTCATTTTGTATTTCAAAAATGTGCATTACAGGTCGGGCACAACCAAAAAATAAGGGGAAGGGAAAATTGTGAAGTGATAATATTATGCTTGCATGAGATTTTGGGCTAGCATAATCTTCATTTGTATCTGGATACATGTTATGTATTCATGTGTAGTATAGAGATCTTGTGGAAAAATTTGTTAGCTATTTTGTATTATAGCTTTTGTAAAGGATTGGGGTGTTACATAAAGTTTTATTATTTATAAATCGAAAGAAATATATAACTTTAATTTTTATGTAATTTATAAAAATATTTTTAAATTGTTATATTTATTTCTTATGAGTAAATGTAATACCCATGAGTCATTTTATTTAAAAAGCTTAGAAGTGTAGGGGCTTAATATGTTATTTATCTAAGAATGAGGGTTTAGACTGAAAATGCTGCTTTATATAAAAGCCAACACTTCCCTCAATTGTTTTTTCCAGATTGAGCCTAACCTAAAAGTGAAGTGTGTGAGTTCACTACTCGAGGAAGACGTATCAAGGAGGACAAGAGCAAAAAGTCCTATGAAGATTTGACTTTGATGGTTGTTAGAAATACATGTAGTCGATATGAAATAGGAGTAGGGATGGGACGGGGATCCCAATACCTGTCCCCGTCCTCGTCTCGGTCTTCGTTTCCGACGGGGAACGGAGATCCCCAACGGGGAAATGATGATTTTTTTAAAACCAAAAAACTATAAAATATCACTATTTATTGAACTAGTAAAAACACTACCAAAATATTAAAATAAGACTTAAACAAGACCAAAAAGTTTAAATTAATATTATCCAAGTTAACGTCAAACGTATTAAAACTACATCGAGTAATATCCAAAATGACCAAAACATATCAAGTAAATTTCCATACTATATACCATCAAAAAAATAAAACAACCACTTGTTACTCGACATCCGCTTCATATGTGACTGTTTCACAAATGCTTGAGGCTCTCCATGTTTTTTATCTACAAAAAGTAAGACAATTTAGAAAAAAATATAATTACTTGTATGACTAAGAATTTTTTTTTTTACCTTGAAATTCTTTACGTAACCAACTTTGAGTGCACATTAATGCTCCAACTGTTTGAGGGTGTAGTCGACTACGCTGTTTTGTGATTTTGTTACTGCTCATATTAAAAGCGGATTCAGAAGCTACCGTAGAAATTGGCATGGCTAAAACTTCTCTTCCAATTCTTTGGAGCATAGGAAACTTGGAGCCATTGCATTTCCACCACATTAAGATGTCAAAGCCTTCTTCATTAGGTGACAATTTTTCGGCCAAATAATCATCCAATTCACTTGTTTTCAAGACATCATCATCACACATCATAGACTCAAAATCCATCTCCTATGTAGGTTTGTCGGAAGTGAAATCATCTACATCTAAGGAACTAGCGGTTGATTGTTCTTTCTGTGAAGGTTTGTCGGCATACTTCTTCTTATACTCTTCAAACAACTCGACACATAGGTTACGTATCCTCATAACCTCACTTTTTGCCTCACCAACATAGATTTTCCGAATGAAATAATTTATTAACTTCAACTTATATCTAGGATCTAACACAATTGCTACACTCATAACCTCGTGTATGACACTCCAATATTTGTTGAACTTGATCAACATTAATGATGCCATTTTCTAATAACATCATGATTAGAATTTTTCCAACTCAACAAAAACACTTTAATTTCATAAATCAACGAGAAAAAAATGTTTGACGTAGGATATAATGTTCCCGAAAACTTTTCAGTCACACGATAAAATAACTTTAATTTTTCACAAACAATTGACGCCATTACCCATTCATCTTCACTATACAAACAAACATAACTTCTCTCCTTCTTGCTCAAACGACTAAAGACATCCTTATACTCCAAAACAACATTAACATAAGATATACCAAATTCCACCTTATCTTGCAATCAAGAACTAATTCCTTTTCACAATTTACACTTAATTGTCGTGCACATAGTTTAAATTCTTGTACTCTCTTAGGAGAGTTTGTCCAAAAATGCAACACTATCCCTAACATTTTCAATAGCTCTCCCAACTATAGAAAATCCATCTTGCACAATAAGGTTAATTATATATGCACAACATCGCGTATGAAATATCTTCCCTTTTAACATTAGCGATGAAGAAGAAAGAGTACCTAAAAGCTTGTCGATTATTGCGTCATTTGTCGGGCAACTGTCAAGAGTCAAAGTTGACAGCTTGTTGTCGACATTCCAATCGAGAAGGTACTCCATCATAGCTTGTGACAATGCTTCGGCCGTGTGTGGAGATGGCACGTGTATAAAGCTGTATTAAACAAAATAAGAAATTAATCCACAATATAAACTAGAGATGCTACACTAGAGATTATTATTTGATGATTCAATTTTGTAAACTCCATTTTCCATCTATATAATGTGCCGTAATCGCCATGTCACCTTTCTTTTGGTTACTTGTTGTCCACATATCTGAAGTTAATGCAATCCTACTCTCATTCTCATCCAAACACCGCAAAGTGTAACCTTTTTGTTTTTCATAAATATTCATTATGTCATTCTTTATTGTTGTTCGAGATGGTACCCTAAATAAATGTTGGAGACCTTCTGAATATTTTCGAAAACCATAGTGTTCGACAATAGAAAGCGGACAATCATGTATAATAATCATTTTAGCTAAGTTTTCCCTACAAAGTTCAGCATTAAATAAATATTTATCATTTTCCCCTTTCCATCTGAAGCCTTTTGGTCCTGAACTAGGATATGTTGTCTAATATCCTTTGTAACTCTCCTTGGGCAATTCTTAAAATGGTCTTTCAAATGTGTGGTTCCGCCGTTGGCTCTACCCGTTAGTTGTTTATTGCAATAATTACACCTTGCAGATCGTCTAACACCATCAACATACACTTGTTCAAAATGATTCCAAACAACCGACTTTAACCTTTTTTTGTGGTTGTTCGTTGTTCGTGTTAGTGTTAGTCTCTATAGGCATGCTTACAGATTTGTAAGTATCATCACCAGTTGTTTCTTGTTCCTTGTTTTCTTCCATTTTATCACCAAGTATGTTCTCATTTTCTGAATGTTCCATCTAAAATTAAAAAGATTGTATGTGATAATGTGAATGGAAAAACCATTAATGAGAATATATAATAAACTTACAAAGTACAAACCTAAAAGCATCTAAAATTAATTCACAATGGCAAGCGGGAAATTCGACATGCTATACAATTAAAAAATTCCAAACTAAGACCTCTTAAACCAAGTGAACCG